GAGCAGGACGAGCCTCTGGAAACACCGCTATGTTGACCAGTTCCTGCCAAACAGGAACAAACGTAGCCTTCGTTTGACGGTGCCGAGACCCCTGAACTGGTCGTAAGCCTGGTTAAAAGGCCAGGCGGATAACATCAGAGGTTTATATTGAAATAGCCACAGGAACGTGAACCGATCCTTGCCCCCAAATATACAAGGAGTCAAACTTTATAGTACCGGAAGCATTTATGATCCGTCCACCGATCTCATCACCACCTGTTGGCTAAAAGTAGCATGTTATATTTACAGCTAGAGTGCCTTGAACAAATGATGCGCAAGTGAAGTAATTGGGGTTGTTGTCTCTATTGACCTTTGCCTTAATTGACGATGATGTTGACGTAGGCCGATGAGGGCACTAATCAATAAGGTGAAAGCTAATTACAAGCGCGCATCTGACCATACGGTCTGTAATCTCCGTAACTAATATACCTACCGATTAAACTTTTGGATGTCTATCGCCATTTTCGGTTTGCGGACCATAGCGTTCAGCCAACCGTATCCAACAGGGCAACGAGCGCGTATTAGAGTCCTTGGTTTACCACTAAACAAAAATTTAATACCTTGAACTCGAGTTATCCATCTATGGTTGGCTGGCGATGCCAAATACGTTAGCAATGGGGACCCCACCACTGTCCGTTTTCTTTCGGCTTGTGTTCGTCGTCTCCAAGAGACCACGAATGGTAAAATGTGACTAACATGTTCCATCCTCTAACAACATTGGTCAGGTCTCCCCTCCCGTCAGAATGATTATTTCCAATCGCAAACACCTGGGCAACAAACCCTTGGTTCAGTTTTACAGCGTTCAGTCTAGTTCGGTGTGGCTGGCTGAAGTCAGCTAATTTGCCACATATGGTCACTTCAGTCCACATTTTTGCCGGTGTTCTTTGCCTATTGAGAAATGGATGCTTTATTTAGAATGGAATATCCTAAACTTTCAGCAAAAATGGCTCCATTCACGGAGAGCAAGGGATAAGGTAAGTAAGGGGTCATGGCAAAAGGTTATAGAATACTCAAAATTAAAGTTTTACACGATATCCACATCTGTTATGGGGACAAGTCAGCTTTAAATTTCTCAATTTCCGCTTCTTCACACGCAAGGTAGCGTGCTAGGATTGGGAGTACAGAGTGCTGATATGCCGATGTATGGCAAGACATATGGCGGAAGCCTCGGCGCATTGTACGGGAAGACTTCGCAGC